CAGCCAGGCTCACCAGGCAAGGTAGCTGTGGTCATAGAACCTGGCCGAGGTGTGCCAAGCCCTGACAGTCCCATATCCTACGGGAGAAGGTGCAAGCCATCCTGTGAGGTTTTGAGCTTCCATTTATAATAATGCTTAGGATTTCTTACTTATTTGCCTCTTGATCTACACAATAGAAAAGCATTCTGGTGGGCTGGAAATGGCTCCGCAGTTAAAAGCACTGACTGCTCTTCCAGAGGACTCTGGGTCGAATCCTATCACCCACATGGTAGCTCACAACTGTCTCTAACGCCAAGATCCTGACATCCTCACACAGTCATGCATGCAGGCAAAACATCAGTGTTAATAAAATATAAATTAATTTTAAAAAGAAAGCATTCTGGCATCCTCTGTAATCTCAGGAAAGCTAGTTATCTGCCGTCTGTTTGTCTAGATGCCTTACATGGAGTGACAGCAACTGAGACTCCACTGGTGGCACTTCTTATGAGGTGCTGTGGCTAAATGGTCCTAACAGTTGAGGACAGACCCCTCAGGAAGATCTGTCTCTGGGTCTGTGACGTGGTGCTTCAACGGCCATCTTGAAGGTTCTTGCTCCATGTAAAAAGGTGTGGCGGCAGACTGTCTGCCTCTCCTCCTCCGTGGTGTTTGCAGATGCACTCACAGGCATGCACAAGGACTTGGAGACTCGAGCAGCACACCAGAGCCTTTGATTAATCATTTAGAAGGTCAGGGCAGCGCAAGTGAAGGTTTCAGATGTCAGGCTGACATCACCTGAGAAAGCCTGCGCTCACATTCATGACTCGTCCCTGCCCTATCCCACCTCCCTTGTAAATGACTCGTGAGATTGTGGACTATCCTGGGACCAAGGGGCATCTGGTGTGATATGTCAGGTGGCCCTGGGGAAAGACCCCAGGAATTGGGTAGGCACGTGATCACAGGAGACTCTGTGCCTCTTGGCATGGCCCGTCTACCTTTCTTCTACCATAGAGACTTAAGAATTGGGTAGCTGCCTTGCCCGTAAGTGTCTGAGTCCTCCCAAACTTGCTCTGCACCCAAGGCCTCTGGAGCCATTCTGACCTACTCTGAGCCTTTAGTTCCCACCCTGTGCTCTCCCACCCCACCACCAACTCTTGTATTTGCACCCAGATGGCAAAGTTATAAATCCTTGTCCTTTGTAGACACCAGGCTTGCGCTGAGAAGACTGACAGCTGCTTCAAGGTGGAGGGGTGGCTTTAACAAAAGACAAAGCCACAAAGGAGCCTAGATTTGATGTCATCCCAGCCTGGTCACTGAAAATAGAGCTCCCTCAGACCCTTCTTGCCCGGGACCAGTACAGAGGCCCCTAAGGTTGAACAGGATCATCTGTGCCCTAGTGAGTGAATGAGGTTAGTCCTTAGGTGAACCAGGGAGCCAGTTTCTAAAAGCCCTATGTACTAGAGGACCTAGGACGCAGTCTTTGTCTCAAGACCGGCCACAGGGGGGCACTTGATCTCCAGAAAGGATCTCAAACTCAACAAGCTCTACAGTGCCAGAACCTCTCTCCAGACCAGGTCTGGAGAGACCAGGTCTGCAGTCCTACCTACCCATTGCTTTTGACATCCAACCCCCTTTTTCTTCTTTTAAAAAACTAGAAAGACTGAAAGGAGGTGCAGGAGAAAAACTCACGGAGCTAGCACGACTTACATGAGGTTTCCAGTAGTGTACACACACCGCTTTGCCTACAGGAGGCAGTTACCAGGACATTCCATCTGACCTGAGTGCAGAATGCCTGCTGCAGCCATCTCTGCTGCAGTGCCTGCCTGCCGTATGACTGACTGGCACTCCCAGCTCGGCTTCAGGACATGCCCACTGAGCACAAAATACCTGACTGATTCCAAAGTGGGAAGGTGTGAGAATTCTCAAAGCAGATTCCCTCAGAGGGGTGACAGGGACAGTGGCAATACCAACGACAGCCGTGAGGCTCCTGATTGGTTAGAGATCCGCCATTTAGAACATGCTATTGGAAGATTTACCATCTCTGGGCTCACAGGCTATGCTGTAAAGCTCTGGAAGGCCTTCCTTTGGACTTGCTCCTGGGCTAATTCCTGCTGCTTTGGTTAACTAGAAAACAAGAAAGAGGCACGTAGGAGACCTGCAGACCCCACCTTGTCCCCACCCCCCTGGCCTCTGTGACAGGCAGGGGGAGTCAGAAGGGCTTTGGGAGACTAGACTGTCCTCTGGAAATGGATGCCTTGGGCATCTTTCAACCTCCATCAGCAGTCTAGGAAGAACAAGCTCGAAGTCTCTAAGTCCCCAGGTTTCCAGGAATTTGTGAAATTGAGACCTGGCAGGAGTGACCTTGGCTGATGTGGAGAGGAAAGCAGTGAAGGAAGCAGGATTCGGCATTTGTGTTGATGTAGTTGAGCAAGCTCAAGGTCCACTGGTTCTCATGGGAGACAAGGCCCTGCGACTAGTGCCAGGGAGAGGGTCTTAAGGGGAAACAGGAGACTAGTGACCCGGAGCTGTCACTCAAGGCAGCTGAGGGTTGGATGACACTGTAGTAGGCTTTTGGCTACGTCTTGCCATTGTGAACAACCACCCCAGTGGATGTTAGCTGGAGACTGGGGCTGAGTGCTCTAGCATTAAACCTGTGCCAGATCCCTAATAAGCCAGGGCACTCTCCTACCAAGGTATAACAATAGAACACACACAAAAGACTAGAGCTGAAGGTCTGGTGCAGAACTGGTCCAGTTCATAAAAATCCACATATTCCTGTGTTGTGGGAGTTTGAACTCCTTACTGGTATGGTTTTGATGGTTGTTCTAAGCTTAAAGAAATAGCTGCCAACTGCTACCCACTGGAGAACAGGCCCGTAGGGGAAGAGAAACGGAGGTGTATTCAGGCATAGGCTCAGATTTCCAGCTCCGTTCTGAAGGCCTCCAGAGCCTCTGTCCTCCCTGCTTTGCTTTACAGTATAATTTGCAACTGAGTATCACTCAAGGTTTCTGTTGCTTTGTTTTTGAGACAGGGTTGCTCTATGTAGCCCTGGCTGACCTGCACTCTGTAGACCACTCTGGCCTTGAACTCAGAAATCTGCCTACCTCTGCCTCCTGAATGCTGGCATTACAGGTGTGTGCCACCACTGTCTGGTGGGTTTTTATTGTTGTTGTTTATTCCCAATCATTCCCTTGAATTCCACATGGCTTACCACACACCCACACACACACACACATCCTCCCTCACACCTTCTGTAGGGCTGGAACAGTTGCTTCCTGGCTTATCAGCTGACTAGGGTCAGCAGCTTCACTGCCGTGGTTTAGGGTCATTTTGTAGTGTCCCTCTTATTCATTCCTAGGAGGAAGAATGTCATTGTCTTGAGGGATGGGAAGAGAGGAAGTGGTGGGTGAGACAGCCACCCTTCTTCCTCTGCATCCCTGGCACAGGCAGAAGGTGGCATAGCCACTGCTGTCACTCCGTCTGGTCCTGGGAGGTGACTGCAGGGCCTAAGGTTTACACTACAGCCTTCTCACTCCCCCTTTCATTTCTCTTTCCAGTGTATGTGGTGGAAGACCAAAGACGAGATGACTTGGGCCCATCCACCTGCCTCACAGCCTGTTGGACTGCTCTCTGTTGCTGCTGCCTCTGGGACATGCTCACCTGAGGAGCCCAGCTCTCCTGCTTGGCCATTCTGTGCCACCTCTGATAGGTGTGCCTGGTCCCATCTCCTGTGATTGCTTTAAGTGGCTAGCTCTGCACAGACGCCTCTACCTTCAGTCCTATGGAGTTTTAGATTAGTGAGGGTTTATTTAATTCAGTGACTTGATCTTTTTAATGTTCAGAACTCATTTCTTACTGATCTTTAACAAATGTGCTAAATAATTTACCTTTTTTTGGCCAAAGGCTTAGTTACGAAATATATATTTATAATGTTTAAATTATACACTCAAGGTAATGGCAATATGTGATACACCACTAGGACTCTCTGCTCACACCCTGTATGTTTCAATAAATCTGCCCCAAACCTGACTGTTTGAATTATTCCAGATAATCTAAACTACCTTGGGGCTGTGCATCTGTATTTCCATCCATCAAGGTTTGTAAGGTGTGCACAGGTCAGCTTGTGACAACCATTGTCTAATACATAAAGAGGAACTTTCCTTCTATTCTGGCTGCCTCCTAAAAGTGGGTGCCCACGGCCCAGTGTCAAGGATGGCTCAGGCAAGCATGTTTACTCACTTTTGCCCAGGACCTGGGAAAGGGACCTCTGGGCTGCTGGGATTGCTCTCCAGGAGTCCTAACTAGCTAACCTGTTCATCTCACATTTGGCCACAAGGTGTCACTAAGCTGTCAGAAAACAAGTCAAGAGTGTCCTTTGCTTCAGAGCACCAGGGTAGCCCTGCCAGCTGCCCTTCTAAAACAGCAGTGGGGGCAGGGCATGAGGAGGGAGGAGGTGCCCTTCCACTGCTTAGGAAGTGAAAGTCACCTTTGGCTAAGCAGTCAGTTTGAGGCTAGCCTGGACTAGAGATTGTGTCTCAGAAACAATTTTATATCATTATTACACACTAGATCAATGCTCCCAATTTACTGGATTCAGCAACTTATCTCAAGAGTTTGTGCAATGGCCAACTGCAGGGCGACAGGAAGGGAGGAGCTTTGAGGCTGTACATCTAGTTTTCAGTGCAATTGTATTTAACCTGCAGTGAAAGTCCCAAAAGCTGCACAATGGATGTACTGTCCAAAGAACAAAGTGCAAGCCCTCTCTCCAACTCCACTGCCCCTTGGGGAACACTAGGAGGCAAGACCATGGTGCCCACCATGGCCAGACAGAGCCTGGACTTGCTGCTGGCTATTGAACTGTTTTGGAATTTTGGGGAGAAAAAAAGGGAAGGAATCTTGAGTCCCACTATGACTCTGTCCCCTTCACCTATAAACTTGTCTTCTTTCTTCTTTCTATGGTCTACATAAAGGCCCATGACTCACCTGTCAGAAGGACCAAAAAGGGGAGAAAAAGGGACATGAGCTAAGGAAGACACTTGCCTCTCCCCCCTCAGCCGGAGAAAAGCAGGACGTAGACTTTATTGTCTAACCCACGTGCCTAGACAGGCTTGCACAGCTTTCCCCGTCTGCCCTCCAGTCTTCCCTCTATTGAGAGCTGCTGGCTTGCCCCAGGAAAGAGTGTCCTGGGCAGGGATGGCAAACATTCAGGTGGGACCTGCAGGGGCCTGGGGGTGATGGAGAGACTGGGGCCACGGGGCAGAGAGGCCAGCACCCTGCGCAGCCCGTGCCTTGACAGGATGGAGGGGTCAGGAGGAAGAACTTTCCCAGCAGCTCCTACTGTGCCCTTCGTGCCATCAGCATCTCTCGGATGTTGTCCTCCGCTTCCTTAACGCTCCGCTCCAGATAGGACTTCTTCTGCTGTAATATAAGGAAGAGGGGTTAGGACCAAAGTGAGCAGGTGTGGCCATTACCAACACAGGCTCTGGTGTCCTCGGAAGTGATGCCAGAAACAGTCTGCCAAATAAGACAGGTAGCTCACCTGTCCCCAGCATTCCCCTCAGGCAGCAGGAGGACTTGGCCTGGCACAGGAAGCACAAATGCCCCGTAGAGGGCAGACCATAGCACCCTTCCCCCCAAGGGAAGTACATGACATTATGCCAGGCCAGAACATTCCAGGACAAAGCTGCCCCACCATGGGCTGTCTCCTCAGGGTTTTCCATGGCCTGAGCCAGACGTCCATAGCCCCTGGTGTGTAGAGCAGACAGCACACACCGCTCTGTCCGCTGAGCCCTGAGCCACAGTCTGCACATCTCACCAGGCAGATGCGCCAGGGTGCTGTCTGCTTTTCTAATGAGTCTGCTGCCGCCGCAATCCAAAACAGTGACGCATGCGTGGAGCGGGCCTGTAGAAGTCACCTTCTGTCCCATCTGGGTCCTACATTAAAAACTTCATCTTCGACAAGGGAGCATAACTACTGTCAGAAGCCACATCAGGACTAAGACCACAAAGATTAGTCAAAGGAAATGATGTGTGCACATTTTTTGTCCTATGCTCATCCCTAAAGTATGGTGGCTTTACCACAGGCTCCTGCCCTGGGAACACAGCCACAGCTTTGTTCCCACTTAGCAGAGAGAGTGCCCACTAGAGGAATAGTAGAAATGTCCTCAAAGAATACTCAAGAGTACATGTGACTGAGGGAGCTGCACTGGGGTGGTGACAGCCTGACCTGGGTGCCACCAGCGCCCTTCACACGTCACCCAAAGTGCTCATCTGACCCAGGGAAAGTAGGGCAGAGGGCAGGTAGGCCACATATCACAACCTGCTTGACAGGCCTCACCTGCTTAGGAACTGAAGGTACAGACGGGGAAAGCCTAGCTACAAGGTGGTCACTTGTGCCAAATCTCTGGTGTACAGTCTGCAAGTCTCTGCCTTAAACTTCTCCTGCTATGGCCGGTTACCAAACGACGCATTCCAAGGCTCGCCCTGCAGAAGCGAGGCATAAGTCTGTCTCAGCTCTGTGTGAGCCTGTCTCCAGCCTGACCTTCCAATCAAATCTCCTCTTGGGCAGGAAAAGCCCAGTCCCTGACTCACCTCCCATCTGCCAACTTGCACCCACTTCCTTACAACATCAGGAGCACCATAAAAGCCATCAGGACTAGGACAATTCAGCGTTCCCAAATGTGTACTGTTGCTATGGAATTTTGTTTAAGCACACTGCAAGCCCTGATATGGCCTATCACTGATAGAGTGGGGACTTCCTTTGATAAACAACTCTTAGAGTTTACTTGTGAGTTTGAGGCACCCGCTGATAGCTGCTGGCTCATCACTGAGGAATGTGCCCACAAAGAATAGCAGTCACGGCGACACATACCACCTGGGCAGCTTGGACCCAGCCTCAAGGGAGTGCTGACAGGACTGGTGGAGGAAGCGGGACTCACGCTGCCACAGCTAGTGCTCCGGGACCTGGCTCTACTGCTCTGTTTCATCTGACAAACTGCTATCACAGATGGCAAAGCCGGAAACTGAGAATATCACAAGGGCCACTTTGTCCTGCCCAGGCTTCTGAACAAATGCAGGTTATAATCCTCAGCAGGAATACTGTTTTATCACATAGGAGTTATTCCTTCAATCTTTCAGGAATTTTACACTTGGATAACCCAAAGACTTCAAGTTAAAAAAAAAAAAAAAAAAAAAAAGCAGTGTAGGGGCTGGAGAGACAGCTCAGCAGCTATGAGCACTGATGGATCTTGCAGAGGACCCAGGTTCTGTTCCTAGTGCCCGCATGGTAAATCAAAACCATCCATAACTCTAGTTCTAGGGCATCCAATGCCATCTTTGGATGTCCTTGGGCACCAGGAACATATATAGCACACACACATACATGCACACAAAACATCTATACATACAGGGTAGATAAGCTTCTCTTTTAATCTCATTGTCTGGTTGGCTTTTGTTTTTAGATATAGGACCTTCCTATGTAACCTGGGATGTTCTGGTACTTCCATGTATAGCCTAGGCCGGCTCTGAACTTGTAGCAGTCCTCCTGCTTCAGTCTTGCAAGTGCTGAGGTTACAGGTTTGTACCATCAAACCCAAACTTCTAAATTTTCAGTTTAAATAAACCTAATGGACAATCCTTAAAAATAAACAAATAGCCTGATAGTGGTACTAAGCATTTCAATAGTTCTACCTCAGCCTCAATTACAACTAAGCTCAAATGATGTCCAATCCAGAGCTGCTGTACGGTAAACTATCTCACAAAAGGTGTCCTGAAGTTCTAATCCCCGCTACCCCCAAGTACCCTCTAATAAGGAACAGACGTCTCTAGATTCAAGCACATTATGGATTCTACATCCAGGCAATGTCCTTGAAAGAAGGTGACGTGAAGACAGCTCACACAGTGAGGATGCCGGTGTGCTCTGAATAGAGACTTGACTAATTTGTCTGTAAGAAAGCTGGAGTATAGCAAGCATTCTTTCTGAGGCCTTCAAAGGAAGCACAAGCCCACCACCCCTTAATTCTGAACTCTTAAGTATCCGAGAAATGTGAAAAGAATTAAAAAAAAAAAATCTATGGCTCTGTGGTGACTTCTTAGGTAACTAAGAAATCAACACAGGACCTGAGGAGATGTGTGTCCCCAGGCATAGTTTCATACCCAAGGCTCTTCTGGACCTAAAGGACCCTATTCTGTCATACTCTGACCACATCAATTGGCGAATGTCGCTAAACATTTATATGCTGGGATCATACTTCTCTCAGAAACAACTGTGAGAAAACTGACCAAAACCACAAAGGAAGCCTTCAGAGAGGATAAAGAAAATGAAGAATCTCTGCAGTTTGTTCCTAAAAATATTAAAAGGTGGGGCCACCTCTTTCTGGAACAGCAGCTCCAACCTTGCACTGGGTCTAGACAAGGACACCCTCCATGCACTACCCTTGAATCTGTTGCATTGTGCTAGCCCTGTCTCAGAACGTTTCCAGAGCCTTCATCAAAGGCCTCCTATGAAGTGACTCCTGCTTCGACCTCCACATCGTGGCTGGGGTCTTCCTTCTCTCCAATAGTTTTCCCATCTTAAAGTAAAAGGCAAAGCTATGTTGTCTGTGGACTGCTAAAGCCAAAGAGCATAACCTGGGAGGCTTTTAAAAACCTTCAACAGGCTGGGGCCATGACCAAGGCAGAATAAGGATGTGGTCTGGTTGGTGTTGTCTGGCTTACCTCCTCGAAGTGTGCAAATGAGCCCCTTGATCTTTTTTTTAATTTTTATTTATATTATGTATACAATGTTCTGTCTGCATGTACACCTGCACACCAGAAAACAGCATCAGATCTCATTACAGATGGTTGTGAGCCACCATGTGGTTGCTGGGAATTGAACTCAGGGCCTCTGGAAGAGCAGCCAGTGCTCTTAACCTCTGAACCATCTCTCCAGCCCTCCTTGATCTCTTACAAGGGCACTAATCCCATTCAAAGGCCTCTACCCCTGTGACCTAATTACTTCCCAAACCCAGGCCTTTCTTAAGTGTCACCCTACCTGAGAAGGAAATGTCTGGTGTGCAGAGCTGGTTCTGCCAGTGCCTAGATCCTAGCGTCTTAGAAGGACGGCCAGTGCATCGCAGTGGCTCCTGCTGGTTGAGTCTGGTGCATTCACTGGGAGATCATTCTGGGAGTACTGGTACACTCACTGATCCTTGTTTCCCTCCCACGTTCAATAAATGGGAAAATGCACCCAAGAAGCAAAGGCAGAAAGGGACCATTCTTCACAATGGCTTTCCTGTCCGGGCTTTGGCCCCTACCCTTTTGCCCCTAGTTATATAGATTTACAACTAAAACTTCTCTGATGCCAACAGAGACACCAGAGCCTTGATCTCACAAACAGAGCAGGCCCTTAGGCATTAGCGGGTCAACTTCTATAGCTATAAAACAAACCTTTTCAAGTTCCCAAGGTTTAGACTCCGGGATCTGTAAGAAACTACTACATCTGGAGGCAGCCTCGGGGCTTCTATGAACTGCACACAGACAATGGTCACCTGTCAGCGCCAGAGACCCCGGAACCCGCACCTTCCAGCAGCAGTTCCTCCTGCCTCTCTATGCAGTTCCTCTCCCAGCCGTTCCTAGGGATGCTCTAGGCCCATCAAACCACACAGCTCTGGGGGCAGCGACATTCTTGTGGGACCTTCTTTTGATAAGAGTTTCTGAGACTTCCTGTGGGGCTCAGCATGGCCAGGGAAGTGACATTGTTGAAGTCATTGCTCATAGACTCAAGGTTCTTTTTCTGAGACAGTCTGAGGCTGTTTTTTCAGTCTCATCAGAGGGACAAGGTTCAAGTACCCACAGCTTTCCCAACATGACACAATCTCTTAGACTCCTGAGGTAATTCCCCCCATGATTTTTCCCTCTTAGGAGAGTTCTTCTAAATCAGCACTTTTTTTTTCTTCCTGCCTTTTGTGCCTTGAGGTATTAAAAAAAAAAAAAAGGTTTTTGTGTTATATTGGTTGTTGTTTGTTTGTTTGTTTTTAATAAAAATACAGCCTGTTTTTGTAGTCCAGGCTGGCTTTGAACTCACAATCCTACCTCCATCTCCCAAGTGTTGGGAATATAGGTGTGCAGCACCACACCAGCCTTGAAGTTCCTCTCTCTGACCCTCTACTCTCTAGGGTTTAAACATGCCTCCTCACTATGGCTCTTAATTCTCCCTCAACCACAGAACCCTAAAAGTAAAACATAAAATGAAGCTAAGGAAAGTGGGACACACAGTGGATCAAAGCAGGCCTCCAGCCAGCCCTGTGCCTGCAATCCAAGCTGCAGGGACAACAAACAACGCTGTCTCAGACTCTCTTCTGCCTGGGATATTTGGTGAGATTCAAGTCCTCAGAGACTCTCTGCTGAGTCTGGTCTACCCTAGCCACAGACTTTCTCCT